GTGGTGTGAGTGTGAGGAGCTGGGAGCAAGAGGCGCAAGGAGCTTAGAGTGAGAAGGTGTGCTGCTGGAGGACTGAGGAGCACAAGCGTTATCAGACACCAGGAGGAAGGTCTTGTGGTGAGAATAAGGAAGGTGTTTGGAGGAGGCCATGGGGAAGTAGCCTAGGGAGTTGTAGCTGTCATGCAGCTGTTACAGGAGGCACTATAGACAGCTGCAGTCCATAGGGTCCTGGGCTGGAACCCGGAGTAGAGGGTGGGCCCGGGTTCCCCCTAAACCTCCCAATTGACCTGGACTGTGGGTTCTTCCAGAGGGGAAGGTCTCTGGGCTGTTCCCCAACCCACATGGTGAATCTCTGAGGCAAGAAAATCCGCCAATAAGTGCAGGACCCACCAAGATAGAGGAGGAACTTTGTCACACTGTATAGACCCTAGCACAATGGGACCCTGGCCTGGTTGGGATCATCTGTAGGAGTTACTGTCAATAATAACCACTTATAAAACATGAGTTAAAAGTTGTTGCCGGTACTATACTGCCCCGTGACCCTTTTTCAGTGTTTTGGTTTTAAAATAACATTTTCTAGGTTTAAAAAAAAAATATTTTTCTGTCTACTGTTGCTGTGTGGAAGAGCCACTCACAAAAAGGAGGGGTGGGCGCTGGATGGGAAATGGTGGCATCCTCCTTCCAGAGGCAGGTGTGGTCTTATTTAACATCCTAACTAAAGATCTGGAAGCTAACGTAAACAACCCATTAATAAAATTCTCAGATGAAAAATTTCACCAGTAGTAGAGAGGGCAAAGAAGTAATATAAAAAAGACTTTGAAGACCTTAGAAACATGGGCAGAGAGAGTAAGAGATTTGAAAAAAATGAAAGGTAATACATCTAGTGAAGAAGAATCCAAAACCATGGTATGGTATGTAGTGGGATAGAGAAACCTGAGCAGCAGCTGCAAGAGACCAGGGGCTGTTAATGGACAGCAAATTCATCCTTCAGTACTCTACAGTAACCAAAGAGGCCAGTGCATCTTTGGCTGCATATGCAGATCTATATTGTAGATAAGAGAGGTAATTGTCCTTCCTAGTACTGGTCTGGTATGACCACAGCTGAAATATTGCATTTATTTCTGGGCACTACGTTACCAGAAAGATATGGACAAACTGGAAGGACTTCAGAGAAGAGCAACAGAAAGAAATGATCACAGGCCTAAAAGGGTTTGCTTATGAGGAAAGATTAAGGCTCCAATCCTTCAAAGATTTACACACACAACTAACTTTAAGCACGTGAATACATCTTTGTAGTACTGAGGCCTTGAAAAAAGCCAATTGCATATAGCTTGGCTAAGCAATGCCTAAGGAGAATAATGTGACAGTCTGTGCATGATTGAAGGGTGTAAACTTTAAGGAAGAAGAGGAATTATTATTATTATATGTAAAAAGCAACAGAGGGTCCTGTGGCACCTTTGAGACTAACAGAAGTACTTCTGTTAGTCTCAAAGGTGCCACAGGACCCTCTTGCTTTTTACAGATTCAGACTAACGCGGCTACCCCTCTGATATTATTATATGGCAGATTGGGATATGAATAGGAGTAATAGAATGAAATTAAGAAAGTGAAAATCTGTACCTGTGTATCAGTACTTACTGACAGTCAGATGTATTGTGGAATAGTCCCCTAAAGGAAGTACTGGAAGCCCAGTTGAGACTTCTTAAATTCAGTGGGATGAAGTAGTAGCAAATGCACTGTAGGGAACAGTCATGCACTGGTAGGAAGATGGACTAAATGATCTGCTAGGTCCTTTTATTTCTAATACTTGTGATTCTTCCGATGTTTCAAACTAAATACTTTCTATTTAAATTAATAAAAAAGTCACTTAGGAAGCTTATGCAGAACCTAACTTCCCTTCTGAAAATGGCAGATGCACCTAAATTGTGAAGTTGGGCTCCTGTGTGCATATTTTAGGCACCTAGATAGCTTTGAAATGTTCTTATAATTTATAAAAATGTATATGACAAATGTACAGGAAAGCAGTTGTGTTGTGGAATAGTGTTTAAGCATGGATGAAAAGTCAAGTCAGGAATATTTTTCAAGCCTCAACTTGCTCAGGCCATACAATGAGTTTGTGTCAGAGCAAGGATAGAACCCAGGTCTCCTGACTCCCAGGTCCCTAGAGGAGTTTTGTACTACTCATTAAATGCAAGAGAAAGAATATGTCATACATTGAAAGTAGGAGTCTGCTCAAAGAAGACTTATTTTTTTTTCTTCTGTTCAGGTTTGAGTATGAGCACAGTTGAAGAAGAGTCTGACACAGTGACAGTAGAAACCGTGAACTCTGTGACTTTGACCCAGGACACCGAAGGGAACCTTATACTTCATTGCCCCCAGAATGGTATAGAGAATTATCCCAGTGTTTGTATTCTCTCTCTCTTATTGGTTCTATTTATTTTGAAACCCTTTTCAATCTCCCTCTCCACCTGTGTCCCTCCAAGTGAGATGTTATCAGCTGGATTGTCTTTGCTGTCCATGCTGAGGTTCTGTCTGCTTTGGTCTAGTGCAGGACATTTTGTGTTCTAGGACCTCCCTTTCTCAGGATTCCCTTTAGCTGTCTTTAAAGCTCTGTGTAAGACCTTTCCTTTCAGATAACATTTTTCTTGGGTATGTTGTCCTGCTTGTTGTCATCAAGTTTTCCCTTCAGTTGACTTGATTTTTTTTAAGTGGCTGGTTCCTGGGCCATTGACTCTGTTGTTAGTTATTTCCTGAAACTAGTACAGCATCTCATACACCTTTAACTGGTGCATTATAAAAACAACATTTTAAAAATACAGATCTTGACTTCTTGTGGTCACACTGGATTATTAACATCTATTTTATAATTTTACAAATCTACCGGTATACACTTTAATCCTACAGAGAATTTACATACTTGTTTAACTTTAAGCACATGAGTAGCTGATTGACTTCAGTGGGACTACTCACATTCCTGGAGTTGAGCACCAGCATGGTTATTCGCAGCCTCAGGGGCTTGCTTTGCTTCTGAGAGGATTCAAATGTTGAGACCACAAGGGACCATTGTGATCTTCTAATCTGGCCTCTTGAACAACACAGGCTTTAGGACAGGGGTCGGCAATCTTTCAGAATTGGTGTGCCGAGTCTTCATTTATTCACTCTAATTTAAGGTTTCGCGTGCCAGTAATACATTTTAACGTTTTTAGAAGGTCTCTTTCTATAAGTCTGTAATATATAACTAAACTATTGTTGTATGTAAAGTGAATAAGGTTTTTAAAATGTTTAAGAAGCTTCATTTAAAATTAGATTAAAATGCAGAGCCCCCTGGACCAGTGGCCAGGACCCAGGCAGTGTGAGTGCCACTGAAAATCAGCTCATGTGCCGCCTTTGGCACGCGTGCTGTAGGTTCCCTACCCCTGCTTTAGGACTTCCCTGGATTAATTGCTGTTTGAACTAGAATATATCTTTTTAAAAAACATCCAATCTTGATTTTAAAATTTCCAGTGACAAACAATCCTCTGGTAAGCTGTTACAATGGCTAATCACCCACACTATTAACATGGTTTAGCAAGAGTGAGGTTCAATTTAGATAGGAAAGAGAACACTTGAATGAGAGCACTGAGCAAGCTTTCACATATTTGTTTTTAGCTTCAACAATGTTTGGTCAACAAAAGGTTCATTATGTTAATAGAAAGGGCTCTGGATGTGTTTTTGTTACTAGAAGCTGATGAAGTAGACTCAGAAGACAGCACTGAACCTCCACACAAGAGACTTTGCTTATCATCAGAGGATGATCAGAGTATTGATGATTCCACTCCATGCATTTCTGTTGTTGCAGTTCCAAGTAAGTCACTGAACACTAATCAAAGTGCATACTATACACCTCTACCTCGATATAACGCTGTCCTCGGGAGCCAAAAAATCTTACCGCGTTATAGGTGAAACTGCGTTATATTGAACTTGCTTTGATCCACCGGAGTGCGCAACCCCGCCCCCCCAGAGCACTGCTTTACCGCGTTCTATCTGAATTCGTGTTATATCGGGTCGCATTATATCGAGGTAGCAGTGCATTTATGTTCTGGCACTCTTGAAGCATTGAAAGACTTGCCAGAAACAGACAGGAGTGAAGGAGCTTCGTCACTGCCCTAAACGCCAGAGACGTAATAGAAACATGATGATGACTCTTGGAGCAAAAAAAAATTAGCAATATTTTAGAACACTTTATTTTGTCAGTGTTTCTATCAATATTTTACACTTTTGTATCACCCTTAACCCCCATAAGTCATAGAACGCTTTACAACAAGCTGTATATATACAGTATCAATGAAGTAAACCCAGCTGTTGGATAGAGAGTAGCAACCAACTAGCATACTGTACCACTCGAGGAGGCAGAGTTGGGAGGACACCAACGCAAACACTCTGCTCTTATTAAAAGAGTACAGGATCTTTATGTCCAAACAGAACAGTTGGGCTTTCCATGTTTGAGGTCATATCTGAAAGATCCACACATATGCAGAGAACTGTGTGGTGCTTGAGTTATTTACCACAGTATGATAGAGAATTGAATCAAGCTTGCCAGGGTTTGAACCTGTGGTTCTAGTGAGTCTGGGTATTCCGAAACACTAAAGTCTCTACTCATTGGCTCTACTTTCTGTCCGGTTTGTATGAAGTAAAGCATTTAGAACTTTGTTGGGACTTTAGAGTGTTGCATTTGTAAAAATATCAATTAATAATGTTGGAGTTACAGGAAAAATAAGCTTTAAAAGTTGCTGCCAACTGGTTCGAAAGTTGTACACTAATAGTCATTGGAGAGTAATGAAAACAAAATATAGAACAGAAAAAGAAACCTTCACATTGTGCTGTTTGCACCCAGTTATTTAAAACTAATTTTATTTTTTGTTTCACATTCAGTTTACAACATGAATCTACCAAAAGGTGGTAGATGTCCTAGTTGTATATGTCCTGGTTTTAAAATCCTTATTTGAACTTCGTAAAGCAAAGTATTAGCAAGCATCTTAGTGTTTTTACCAAGCCAAAAAATCAGTGTCAGAGCACAGCTTTATTCAGATTTGCAGACCAGGTACTGTGTTGTGTAAATCCTGTACTCTACATATCAAATATTCCAGAAAAAAAACTACGCTACTAATTTACATGTTTTGAAGTTTCAGAAAATGATCAGAGCTTTGAGGTGACCATGACTGCTACCACTGAGGTAGCAGATGATGAGATTAATGAAGGAACTGTTACTCAGATCCAGGTATGGTAAAGCTTCAGGCTTGGTCCAAGGGCTTTTAATTAACTTGCCTCTGCGTATTCATATTCAATTAAGAAGCAAAAAGTTTTGATTAAATGGGCACTGCGTGTCCTGTTAGTGAAACTGACCTACAGTGACACTGGTCTTGTTTGGAAGATTCTGTCCAATAAAAATACATTTTAATTTTTCAAAGGAAAACATGATTTGGTGAAATTTTCTGTACACGGATTGGTGCACTAAGTTATGACAGGTGTAGCACAACTGCTTTGATTTGTTTTAGAGAGAGCCATATAGAAAGATGAGATGGCTGGGCTTTTAAATTTACCACTACTGCAGGTGGTGGTGTTCAGGGGAAAATAAGTTTTACAATCCTTATGGTAAAACCTTTCAGGTAGTACCATTGTCAAGAGAAAGAAAGGTTTAAGCCTAAAAATACTCAGCTTTCATACAGCACACTTCACATTAAAAAGCGACTTAGACGTTGGGCCCAATCCTTTCTCCACTGAAGTCAGAGTTTTAACTTCAGTTGGAGTAGGACTGAGCCCATTATCTAATTAATCCTCACAACACCTTTGAGAGTTAAGATAGTAAGTATTATTATCCCTATTAGGTGTGGCGTTTACAGCTCCCATCTCTCCAGAGATGTTCCAGCAAGGATAGTGGGGGCCAACTGGACCTATTTGCGATCACTCTGCTCCCATCTGGCCACTGCCAGCCCTTTTGGGTCATAGTTTTAAAATCCCTAGCTTCCCTGGAGGCTACAGCAATGCTTTCTGAGGCCTGATCTATACCTAAAACTTAGGTCGACCTAGCTACATCGCTCAGGGCTGTGAAAAAATTCATGCACTTTGTGATGTAGTTAGGTTGACTGAAGCCTCACTGTAGATGCAGCTAGGTTGACGGAAGAATTCTTCCTTTTACCTAGCTATTGCCTCTCAGAGAGGTGACATATCTGCATTGACAGAAAAACACCTTCTACGCTACAGTTACACAGTTGCAGGGCAGTAGCTGTGCTTCTGTAGCTACTGTAATGTATACATACCCTAAATCTCTGAATGTTTTTCTTTACTTTTCTCTTCCTGCTGTTGCTGCCCCTATTTAAGGTGCATATCACCTGACTCCACTCACTACAAATACAGTTCTGCCATATCCAGTGTCTGCAAAACTACCAGTTATATTTTCCCCCACACATCTTACCTGTCTTCAATCTTCTGGTCCTTGCTAGTACTACTTCCCCCTCTTCTGTCTGTCCTCTTCATACCCCATGCATTTCCTAACAAACTACAATTTTAAGGTGGAGGTTACAGTTGGGTTCTAAACTATTTGAGTCCACTTTTAATTGTATACTTTATAAGTTGTGTTAACTAGGTTTTTCTTTTACAAATATTTAACAAATTGAATAATAAAATATACTAAAAATTAATAATTTAATGCTAAATGACAAGTGTAATTGTCATAAAATTAATACATCAGCTGGACACAAATAACGACGGATTTAAGCCAATATCTGAATAAAGAATACACTTTTTAAAAGAAGATCTTTTCCTTACAGGGCACAAAAGCTGTGTTGTTAGAGATTGTATGTACCTTGTTCATTTGTGAAGCTTCTTGTAAATATCAGTCATTTCTCTTGATGGTGTGTAAAGTAGGCCCACTGCAAGGAGAGAAGGACAAGGGAAAACACAGATCTTAGTTTGTAAACCTTCACCTTATGCAGAATATAGAATAGCGGAGGAGGAGTGTACATTACAGTAGATAAGCAAATGATTCAATATATCCTACAATTTAAAAAACAATAGAATTTATATCAGTGCCATTACTGTGAGAAAATTGGTGTGTATTTTGTAAAAGATGATGGGGAAGAGATATTAGTTTAAGCTGGCCATGAGTATGATGGGTAAAAGTGTTGTTTAAAAACGGAAAATATCCTGGTAGTGCCCTGCCTAAAACAAATACACTTTATTAGCAGCCAGCAAGGTCAACTCGTATGACACAGCCATCTTTTTTCCACTTACACTTGCCAAGCATTGCATGTTAAATTCAAGGTGGGGGAATGAATGTTAAATCAGTTAACAAGGTACTCTTCAATTCTTCTTTTCAAGATTCTTCAGAATGAACAACTGGATGAAATCTCTCCTCTAGGGAGTGAAGAAGTGTCAGCTGTTAGTCAAGCCTGGTTTACAACCAAAGAGGATAAGGATTCTCTAACAAACAAAGGTAGGATATTTAGGCCCAAATTCTCCCATTGGTTGCAAAAAGGTGAGCTGATCTGTATAATGTGTGTATGAGGGTACTTTTTAGGCTGCATAAAATACCCTGTATTCTGGTGCAGGATGCCTGCATCCTTGTTAGCAGGGTGAAGTCTAAAACTAGAAATACAGACTCTTTCCATACTGGGCAGTAGTAGGTCTTACTTTGTCCCATACAAAAGGCAAGATAAAAAGTGAAAGGGTATCTAGAGGGATAGAGAGAATGATGAGGATAGCTCAGTGGTTTGAGCATTGGTCTACTAAACCCAGGGTTGTGAGCTCAATACTTGAGGGAGCCATTTAGGGATCGGGGGCAAAAATCTGTCTAGGGATTGGTCCTGCTTTGAGCAGGGGGTTAGACTAGATGACCTCGTGAGGTCCCTTCTAACCCTGATATTCTATGATTCTATGACTAGGATTAAAAGTGTTCCACTATATGTTACCAGTAATTTCAAATAAGTTACAAAGGAGAGTAAAAATAAGGAGGCTATTTATTTAACAAAATAAAAAATAATGCCCTATAGAATCTACTGGAGCTTGTGTGTGTGTGTGGCCTTCTTATTCTCACTCTCCTTTTATTTTCCAGAATGTTCCTTGAAACACAATGCTAAATGAATCCGCCACTTGCCGTTGATGTACAACAAAAACATGTGATCAGTTTCTACTCATCTTGTTCCCATCTTGATGGAGAAGGATAGAGTGGTGCCCCCCCACCCCCACTCCACCCCGATGTAGCTATAGTAAGGGAGGGAGCAGGTGCTATAATGCTCCCAGGAGTGGCAATGTTTTAGTAGCAGTAGTAATTATTTAAGGAGATCCTGCTTAGGGACTCGGTAGTGCCTCAAGTCCTTTAAAAGCATCACATGATTTAAACTTACTGCTGTAGAGCACTTCAGAACTTAATTGTTCCACATTAGAGCTGGATGAAATTTTTCATTGTGTTTTTTTCAACAAAATGTGGACTTTTAGGAAATATGAATATGCTCGTGATGCAATTTGAAACAGTTTTTTTTTTTATTATTATTTCCCCCCCCGCCAATTTTTTTCCTCCGTCTTCCAATGGGGAGGAAAGAGGTGAATGAAAATTAGTGGGTGTTTATTTATTTATATATATTTTTCAAATCAAATTGAAACAAACTTTTGTGGAAAAATTTTGAACAAAATAAATATTATTTTGTTTCCTTTTAATTTTCCACAGAAACTCCATAGGTCTGAGGTTCTCTGCAGAAAGAGGATGGCAGCTTGTAGGGAGGGAGCAATGACTGGGAGGCATTGGGAATGGGAACTTCAGAGCTGGGAGAAGGAAGAAACGAGCACCCATCATTTTATCTGTTCCTGTCTATCACTTTCATTCACTGTCCTGATTGGATGCATGGTTGCTTTTAAGAGCCACTAGTTTCCCCCATCTTTTCCATCCCCATTTTTCCTCAGCTCTGCACAGGTTCTAATCTCCACGGTGCTCAATTCAAGAACTGAGGTGGGTGGGGGGCAGAGTAGCAAAGAGACTGCTTTCCATTTCAGGAGGCTGGGGGTAAAGTAGTTGAGACGCCCCATGACAGTAGCTGGTAGACTCTAGGGTGAGGAAGCAGAGAGATTATGCACCTCTTTTCCAGCAGCCAGTGGGGCCTTCACATTTATCAAAGTCAACTAGCCTAGAGCAGTGTTCTCCAAACTGTGGCCAAAGGAGTTCTTGCTGATGATTGGGTGGAGAGCTGACTGATCACATGCTGCTGGATCTTCTCATTTCCAGCTGTTCAAAGTGAAAACACACTAAACACTTCCCTCATGTTCCTTTCCCCTGTAAGTAATTGTCGTGGTTCCCACAGGCATGCTGTATGGTCATGAATTCCAGGTGGCCTATGCAATTGTAAATGGAGTGGAGGATTGTCTGTGCGATTGTGAATGGGAGAAGTGATGCTGGAACAATCGTTCCATTAAAATATAAGCCCATATTATGAAAAAGTTTGGGAACCCCTGAGAAAGTGGCAGAATCCTGCTGGCCACCTTTCTCAGAGAAAATATGCTTATAGGAATCCCAGTATGTTCCCCCATCACAGCAGTTTGAAGGTGGCGCCTGAGCTTCTCACATGGGCAGTGTGCACCACCAACTTTTATGCCCCTGGCTAATAGGTGTCTAAATAGGTTTTTCAAGTCCTGTGTCGTATTATATTAAACTTGGCTTAAGTTGGCTAGAAGTAGGCAGACATAGCAAAGGCATAATATAAGGTTTCCTTTCCTCAAATTAGATGCTATTCCATGTAAAGTGCAGCCCTATCGCCTCTTCGTGTGATTTCTATGCTCAGATGGTCATGTAAATGACAAAGAATTGTAACTATACACTATAGGTGTAATTTACCTCTGGAACCTCATCTAGGTCTCTGTATGTAGCTTGGGAGGAAGAGAAAGATTGGAGACATGGTGTAAGAACATTCTCCTAACTGCAGGAACAGAATTAGCTATAATGACTGTACTTTTAATTTATAATTGGATTTCAATAAGCAAACACTCTTTGTCAATTCTCTCCAAATTGTTTTGCTGGTAATTATCAGGCTAAGAAGGAAACACTTGGTTTTTCTGAGCAGAGATGGGCATGTAGCCAGCATTCAGTACCTGAAGTGGGTCAGGAGCGTATCCTTAATTACATGCGATCTGTCACTAGTAAAGATGTTATGAGCACAAAAGGGAGAAAATATCTGTAGGCAAGAGTAAAGAGGCAGTTATTTTTAATGCCACTTGGCTATTAGATCATGGTATTTAAGGTTTGCATCCTTATATCTGAATAAAATCGAATTGGTTTTGCTTTTTAAAAAAAGCCAAAAGCTTAGATGGTATTGAAATTACTAACTAATGTTTACTTGTGGCACCTTAGAGACTAACAAATTTATTAGAGCATAAGCTTTCGGATGCAGAAGCGGTCAGTAGCCCACGAAAGCTTATGCTCTAATAAATTTGTTAGTCTCTAAGGCTTGGTCTACACT